CTCTGATATCCTTTATAAAAACTCTTGTTTTGATTTAAATACAGATTCACATGATATAAATACAGATTACTATGCAAAAATAGTACAAAGTAATCCCATATGCCCTTCACCCATTTTCCCCCAATCACTATATTTTACACAAATATAGTACAATATTAAACCAGAAAATTGGCATTTGTACTATGTGTGTATAGTTCTAGGCCTTTTTATCACATTGTAGATTTAATATACTAGTAATCAAGATTTGCACGTGTGTAGATTTTGCAATCAAGATACAGAACTATCCCATCACTACAATATCTCCTTTATACTACCCCTTCCTAGTCACATCCACTTTCTTCCCCCTCATTATCCTAACCCCTGTCAACTACTAATGTGTTCTCCATTTCTTCAATTTGTCATTTTAAGAATATTGCATAAATGGAATCAAGTAGTATGTGACCTTTTGAGATGGGCTTTTCCCCACTAGAATAATGTCCTTGAGATGCATCCAAGTTGTTGCTTGTAGCAATATCATTCCTTTTTATTGCTGATTAGTATTCTGTGGTTTGGTTGTATAACAGTTTATTTAACCATTCAGCTATTGTGGGATATTTGGCTGCTTTCAGTTTTGGGCTATTACAAATAAAGATATGAACTTTGGGGTACAGTTCTTTGTGTGATGTTAATTTTCATTTCTCTGGGATAGGTGCCTAGGAGTACAGTTCTTGGGTTGTATGTAAGCTTACATTTAGTTTTTTTTAGAAACTGAGTATATACGACGATGGTATATACTACATACTATATAGCCTAGGTATGTAGGAGGCCATATCATCTAGATTTCACAATGATGAAATCGCCTGTGTATTTCTCAGAATGTATCCTCATTGTTAAGAGGCACATGACTGTACAAGTTCATGTGTGGATATGTGTTTCATTCCTCTAATAGTGTTTTTAAATACTTTTCCCCTTCATAGCCTCAGTTTCCTCCATATTGCTATTTTTCTTTTTGTTTTGTTGGAGATGTTTGTATTAGTAAGCTTGAGCTGCCATAACAAAATACCACACATCGGGTGGCTTATACAACAGAAATTTTTTCCTCATAGTTTGGGAGGCTGGGAAGGTTAAGATCAAAGTGCTAGCCAATGTAGTTTCTGGTGAGAGCTCTCTTCTGGCTTGCAGATGTGCTCACATGACCTCTTCTTTCTGTGTGCAGGGATGGGAAAGGAGCAGGTTCTTTGGTGTCTCTCTTTATAAGAACATGTCCATCCTTATGACCTCATTTAACTTTACTTCCTAAAGGCTCTATCTCCAAATACAGTTATATTGGGGATTGGGATTTCAATGTATGAATTTTGGGGGACACAATTCAGTCTATATCAATGTTTTCAGACTTCTTTTATCCCTACATTGTTCATTTATGTTTTCGTGTAGGAGACTTAAAATGTGATTGGACCCTGGCTGGTATGCTCAGTGGTTAGAGATAGGCTGCACACTGAAGGGTCCAGGTTGGATTCCTGGTCAAAGGCATGTACCTGGGTTTCCCATTCGCTCCCACCCGCATGTGGGAGGCAACTAGCCAATGTGTCTCTCTCCCTCTCTTGCACTTTCTCCGAAAAGCAATGGAAAAAATATCCTCAGGTGAGAATTGACAATAACAACACAAAATTAAAAATGTGATTGGTGCCCAGCCAGTGTAGCTCAGTGGTTGAGAGTCAGTCCATGAACCAGGAGGTCACGGTTCGATTCCCAGTCAGGGCACATGCCCAGGTGGCAGGCTCAATCCCCAGTAGGGGGAATGCATGAGGCAGCCAATCCAATAATTCTCCCTCATCATTGATGTTTCTATCTCTCTCTTCTTCTCTTTTCCTCTCTGAAATGAATAAAAATATATTTTTTTAAAATAAAGATGGAGAAACTGAGTCTCAGTAAGTTGCTCAGGAGTGCACAGCCAGTAAGCAACCGTAGCCCACCCACCACCCAGTCTGACACCCTAAAATGTTTCTAAACATTGACAGTTGTCCCTGGGGTGGGGGAAGAAAAGTGCACTTGTCTGAGAACCAGTTACCTATAGGAAAACGTCCAGGTTTCCTAGCATGGATACAAGGTCCTTTGTGATCTGTCCCTGTGTGTCTCTCCAGCCTCATCTGACCCCATGTTGCCCCCTATGGCTGCCCTCAAAGAGCCTGTTATAATACCACAGACATGAACCTTCTCAGCCTCTCTGTCTCCCCTGTCGCTCCCACCCACTACTCCTTGAGTTTAGCTAATTGACTCAGCCCTCAGATTTCACCCTCAGGAAACGGTTCTTTCCTCTTGGTCTGGTGTAGGGGCTAATTTTACATACTCCTGTGGCACCCCCAGCTTCTCTCTCCTTGTTTATCGTGCAGTGTGGCATCCGTTCACTCGCCTTCCTTTCCAGCACCAGGCAGAGCTGGACGGCTGAGAATGTGTTTTTTACCTCCGTGTCCTCGGCACAGTGGTTTACTCCTAGAAGGCACCCAGTACTTGTCGACTGAATGAATGGTTGGCACCCAATACGGCTTTTTTGAATGAATGGTTTTCCTTGAAACAGCTTCTTTTTCAGTTCTTTCACTTCCCGCCATCCCATCCTGTTTATGTAATTGAAAAAAAGCCAGTTGGTCAGTAGGTCAAGAAACAGTCACCCCGAAGCAAGAATTTTAATGAAAAAAGTATGGCAGCTCCATAAAACCCACGGTGCTCTGCTTAGAGCGGAGCACAAATACTTTTACGTTGCGATTGGTACTAGAAAGTCAGGAACAAGAAGTTGGACCAAAATAGGAAAATGAGAAGAAATACTACATTTTCCTACTGCAGCATATGGGTTTCTCATTAGGCTGTGTAAGGGAAAACCGGGGGCGGGGGGGCTCCGTGACTGCAGCTGTCCGCACTCCCCCCATCATTCTGCTGCCACCACACCTGGTCCCCAGAGACACCCTCACTTCTTAGCTATGTTGGCTTAGGTATGGACAAATCCCCTTAGTTCAGCAGAGATGAGCCTGGAATTTTTCAAAAGAAGCTTTGCTAGGCAACTAGGGAAAAAGCAAAACAAAAGTAAAAACAGGAAATAGCATATAGAAATTATAAAAATACGGAGAGCAAAATAGAAAAAAAGAAAATTTCTAGCCTAAGATAACTGAGTTCCAGTATTAGCTTTTCTTTTTTTAAAAAAAAATATGTTTTTTTTTTATCGATTTCAGAGGGGAAGGGAGAGGGAGATAGAAACACCAACGATGGGAGAGAATCCATTGATTGGCTGCCTCCTGCATGTCGCCACTGGGAATCAAGCCCGCAACCTGGGCGTGTGCCCTTGACCAGAATCGAACCCAGGACCTTTCAGTCCCCAGGCCGATGCTCTATCCACTGAACCAAACCAGCAGGGCAAGTATTAGCTTTTCTTGACTCAATTTACCAGGCACATGTTTTCCGTTTTTTTTTGTTTGTTTGCTTTTGGGTTTTTTGTTTTGTTTTGCTGTGGTATTGTCTTCCTCTGGGAACTTGTCCTAAAGTCCCTCTTTTTAGTCTTTGAATATTTTCTTTCACTTAAAAGTCTTCTCAAAAAAAAAAAAAAGGAGAGAAAGAATCTTCTCCATCTTCATCTAGGAAGGAGTTGAAATTGGCATTAGAGTCCCTTTTTCTTCTAGACGGCAGGTGACTGATCAACTGGAGAAACCTTTCAGGGTAAAATAATTCAGGGTCCCACAAACACATCCATGGCGAAGGTTTTACTTACCTAGGGTGAAATGAAAAACAGGTAATGTCAGTGAGTTTTTTAATAATAGTAAAGGACCAATCTTTATTTTGAGATTTTTTTTGCTTTCTTTTCAAGTGTTAAAATAGCAGATGGTAGTTTTGAGTCATTAACTAAATGCTGTAGTTACCTACGTTTTCAAGGGCAAGTGATACAGGTTTTAAAGTTTGATGTTCTCATCTAAGGAACCACCAGGTAGTTGTGATAATACAGTCCTCATTCTATATATTCATTTATTGATTGATTATTAAGTCCTGGGTGAATACAAATTTGAGTAAGTTATTGTCCCTGCCGTCAAGGAAATCCTAGCCTAGAGAAGAAGGTCGAGTTGTAAACAGTGGTACAGGGTGTCCATATTCTGGGAGGGAGGGAGAAAAGAAAGTGCCTAATTCCACCTGGGACAGCTTATAGAGGAAGTGAAGTTTTGTCTGAGAAGAGGCATCCTAGGCGGACATTTGCTAAGACTGGAGACCCGAATGAATGTGGCACATTTGGGGGAACACTCAGGCAACTTTAACTTGGCAACATGTGGGCGAGTGGCGGAAGATGAAGCTGGAAAGGTATATTACCCCGTTTAACTTCATATTCCACAGCTACCTGTGACTGAACATATGGTTTTCATACTTGCAGGCCAGAAAAAAAGCCTGAGCAAGCAAGTATATTCTATAATGTCCTTATTCATCAGCCTTTCCTCAGTCCATGGCTTTTGAAAATTTAATGTGGGTCAATGTCCTGAGCTTGGATTCAGAGTTCACTGCCAGAGTACAAGACAAGGGAGACCCAAGATAGGCATCGTGGCTGGCCATGAACTTACCCGGAGCCCGGATGTGCCCCAGCTGCACCGCGAGCAGCTGCCATCGTCGTGACATCTGTGGAGCCGCGGACTCCAGGCAGGCAGCGGGAGAGGCCTGCCAAACCGGGCCCGGCCCGACAGCATCTGGGCGCTGTGCTCAGGTCTGGGTCCACGTGCCCCCTTTCCAGGAGAGATGTGGATACAAGCTAGAGGGTCTCCAGAGGAGATGGCCTACAAGTCATCATACCAAGAGTAAAATTAAAAAGAAGAACAAGAGAGCTGCCCTGAGTTGGTTTAACTGATTTCTTGAGGCAGAGCGGGTGGCTTATTCTGGGTTGCAACAGTGGACTGGATGGAAATTAGTGACCAATTTTGGCTCAATGTCAGAAATGATTTTAAGAGCCTTTTTCCCGAGTCCTTTTTTTACATACTGCTATGAGATTATTTTGGCAAAATATGCAAATGTTTTGACAGAAACAAGACAGCCATCTTCACCTCTAGAGATGCTGTAGCACATAGTCCTATCTTGAAGGGATTGTTGGACCTCTTGAACTCTTTCTACCTATAAATTCAATGAAATTGTAGCATTTGTTCTACTTTTTAAGTAACTGACTCTTTCCTAACTTTGCCACCCTTATCTTTACAGTACATTAACCCAATTTATTGTGAATTTTTAAATTTTTTTTTTTAGTATCTGACCAAAAGGATACCACAAAACCCAAAGTATCAGCATGTCAAGTCAAGACTGGACACTGGTGAGTAAAGACTAAAAAATTAAAACTTTTTAAAAATTCAAAAGCTAATTATTGACAAGAAGCAGCTAAAAGTTTCCCACTGTCTTGTTTGATGACTTTCTGGGCTCAGGGACTTGTTTTTTGGTTTTTTTGTGTGTTTTTTAAAAAATATATTTTATTGATTTTTTACAGAGAGGAAGGGAGAGGGATAGAGAGTTAGAAACATCGATGAGAGAGAAACATCGATCAGCTGCCTCCTGCACACCCCCTATTGGGGATATGCCTGCAACCAAGGTACATGCCCTTGACTGGAATCGAACCTGGGACCCTTCAGTCCGCAGGCCGACGCTCTATCCATTGAGCCAAACCAGTCAGGACGGGACTTGTTTTTGATACCTGTTTTTCAGATTGTCAGCCACAATTCCATTCACAGGATTAGCTTATTATAAATTGAGAAATTGATGAAAACATTGTTCAATAAGTTGCAGGGCTGAGGCTAATATCAGATGGTCAACTTCTATTTGGGGACACCTCAAGTATGTTTCTTTAGACTGGGAGTAATAGATTATACTTGTGTACCTTTGTTCAATTTGGTATTTGCAGAGTTCCAGCTCCATGCAAAGTTATGGCCTATGGGACTAGAAAGATGAGTGTGAATCGTGATTTTTTGCAATCAAAGAGCTTAGATTCAAGTGGAGGCAGACAGACTTGAATGAGTAACTGAAATACCAGACAAAATTAAATTAGTGCTGCAATTCAGGTAAAATGAAATTTGAGTGTATTACTGCTTATTTCCATGCTGTTAACATTTTTCACCAGGCCCCTTGTGGATTTGCAGCCTTGTGAGATTTTTGTTGTTTATTTGTTTAGTTTTTTTTTCAAACTTTTAAAGCCTGCTGTGGAAAAGCCATCCTATTAAGATGGTTTCGCTAGTAGATTGGGGTACTGCATGCCTTTAGAATACTGAACATTCCACCAGTAACCTGAAGACAACTGAGAAAATAAATTGGGATGTCAACTTTGTTTAAATCTCATTCATTTTGTCTTTGTGTTTTTCCAGTCTCCTTCAAAATCATTACCTCACACTGTACATGTTTCCTCATATAAAATAGAGTTAAATGCTTTAAATGAACCCATTTGCAGTTACAATTTCTGGGGATCTTTCTTTCAAACATTTCCGTGCTGTACAGATATTTCCTTGCAAATATCCTGTTTGATGGGAGGTAAAAAAAAATATCTGTTATTGAGAAGCAGGAAATTGTGGCACAGAGATCGTGTGATTTACATGAAGTTCAGTAAAGAAGCTAGAACGGATTTGTATGCAGGATGAGGAAGTGGATGTTGGAGAACTGGTGCAAAGTCCTGTGTATTGTTTCAGTCCTGTGTACTGTCCTAATTTTTCCCCAGAGCTGAGGGTTTTTCCCCCCCAAAAAATATATATTTGTATATAGCTTTATATCTTTGTCTCTTAGAAATTGAACTGAAATTTCAATGAAAATCCATTTTTTTCTCCTCAATTTCTCAATTCATAACCAAAATTTGACTCAGTATAATGATACCTGAAATTAATTTCAGTTTTAAATCTTTTTTATAACACATAGTGATTACCTGTATCCTTTTATATTCTGAGATTTTCGTTGTTGTTGTTGTTGATCCTCACCTGAGGGTATTTTTCCATTGATTTTTAGAGAGAGTGGAAGGAAGGGAGAGAGAGAGAGAGAGAGAGAGAGATGAGAGAGACACATCGATTGGTTGCCTCCCACATGCACCCCAACCAGGGCCTTAGATCGAACCTGCAACCCCGTTATGTACCCTTGACTGGAAATCGAACCCGAGACCCTTTGGTGGGTGGGCCGATGGTCTAAACACTGACCCACACCAGCCAAGGCTATCCTGACATTTTAAGCTAGTGTTTTGCTAATAAAACTTTTTATTTTGAGGTAATTATAGATTCATATGGAATTATAAGAAATGATTTAGAGAGATTCCATGTATCCTTGACTCAGTTTCCCATGGTAACATCTTGGGAAATGATACTGCAAAATCACAACCATGATATTGACATTGATGTTTATAGACTAGATACAGAACATATCCATCACCACGAGGATCCTTCATGCTGCTCTTTTAAAGCCACTTCCGCTTTTCACCCTCACCTCCTCCCTAACCATGGCAACCACTAATCTGTTCTCCATTTCTAGAATTTTGTTCTTTCACAAATGCTGTATAAATGGAATCATACAATATGCAACTTTTCGGATTGGCTTTTCCGCTCAGCATAATTCTTTGGTGGTCTATCCAAGTTGTTGCATTTATTAGTAGTTCGTTCCTTCTTGTTACTGAGTAGTTATACCATGGTATACGACAGTATAACCGTTGCTTGTTGAAGGAGGTTTGGATTGTCTCCACCTTTTGACTATGACAAATAAAGTTGATGTATACATTTGTGAACAGATTTTTGTGTGAATATAAGTCTTCATTTCTCTGGGATAAATGCCCAGAAGTACAATTGCTGGGTTGTATGGTAGTTGCCGTTGTGTTTTTTTAAGAAACTGCCAAACTGTTTTCCAGAGTGGCTGGACCATTTTATATTCCCACCAGCAATGTCTGAGTGATCCAATTTCTCCACATCCTTACCAGCATTTATTTAGTTTTCTACTTTAGCCATTCTGATCGATATACAGGGGCATATCATTATGGCTGTGATCTGCATTTCCCGAATGGCTAATGATGTTGAGCATCTCTTCATGCACTGACTTACCATCAGTCTATCTTCTTCGGTGAAATGTCTGTTCCTGGCTTTTGCCTATGTTCTAACTGAATTGTTTGCTTTTTAATTGTTGAGTTTTGAGGGTTCTTTATGTATCCTAGCCAGTCCTTTGTTGGATACATGCTTTGCAAATACTTCCTCCCACTCTGTAGCCTGTCTTTTCATCCTCCTAGCAGGGTCTTTCAAAAAGCGAAAGTTTTTAATTTGGGGAAAGTGCAGTTTTAATGTTTCCTTTTTGGGTCATGCTTTGCTGTCAAGTCTAAGAACTTTTTGCCTAGCCTAGATCCCAAAGAGCTTCTATTATGCTTTTTTCTAAAAGTTATATAGCTTTAAGTTTTACATTTAAGTCCATGATACATTTTCAGGTACTGTCTGTGTGAGATATGTGACTTAGAGTGAGATTAACGTTTTGCTCTGGATGTTCAGTTGGTCTAGCACCATTTGTTAAAAAGATGACCTTTCCTCCATTGAATTGCATGTTCACCTTTGTCAAAAACCAGTTGGGCATATTTATATGGATCTACTTCTGAGTTCTCCATTCTGTTCCATTGACCTATATGTCTGTTCCTCTGCCAGCACCACACAGGCCTGATTACTGTAGCCACATAGTAAATTAGATACTTAAACTTGGTTGCTGATTACTCCCACTTTACTTTTCTTTACAAAATTATTTTAGCTATCTTAATTCCTTTGCTTTTCCATGTAAATTTTAGAATGATCTTATTTACACCTACAGTAATATTACTATGATTTTAATAGTAGTTGCATTAAACCTATGTATATTCATTTGGGGAGAATTGACATCTTGCTATGTTGAATCTTCCAATTCATTAATATGCTATGTCTCTCCATTTATTTACACCTTCTTTGATTTATTCCATCAGCATTGTTTAGTTTTCAGGATATAAATCCTGTACATGGTCTGTTACATTTACACCTAATTATGTAATTTTTTGAACAATTGTAAATGGCCCTATATTTTAAATTCTGGTGTCTAAGTGTTTATTGCTAGAAATACAGCTTATTTTTGTATGTTTATTTTGTATCCGGGACCTTGCTAAACTCACTTTTTTTAGGTACAGGAGGCATTTTGGTATATGTTTTTTGGGGGGAAACGGGGAAGGTTGTAGATTCCTTGGGCTTTCCTGTGTAGACAATCATGTCGTCCACTAAAAGGAACAGTTTTATTTCTTCCTTTCCAGTCTGTACACTTTTCATTTTCTATTGCTGCCTATCGCACTGGCTAGAAGTAACAGCACTATGTCACATAAAAGTGAAAAGAGTGGACATCCTTGTCTTTTCCCAGCCTTAGGGGAAAAGTATTTACTCTTTCATCATCAAGTGTAGTGTTAGCTATATTAGGTCAAGGAAATTTCCTCCTATGGCTGTTTTTCTGAGAGTTTCTATCATAAATGACTGTTGAATTTTCCTAAATGCTTTTACTGCATCAATTAATATAATCATGTGATTTTTTTTTCCCTTTAACTTGTTAATATAGTGGATTTTCAATATTGTACTAGTTTTGTATCCATGGGATAAATCTCACGTAGTTATGGTGTATAATTCTTTTTCTTTTTTAATATTTATTGTTGCAAGTATTACATATGTCCCTTTTCTTCCCCCCTGTAGACTCCCTCCAGATCACCCCCACTCCCCACTCCAGGCCTTCAGCACCCTATTGTCTGTGTCCATGGGTTATGCATATATGTATACAAGGTCTTTGGTTGATTACCTCTCACCCATCTACCCTCCCCGCCTTCCCTCTGAGATTCCACACTCTGTTCCATGCTTCCATGTCTTTAGAACCACTCCATTCATCAGTTTATTTTGTTAATTAGATTCCACATATGAGTGAGATCATGTGATACCTGTCTTTCTCTGACTGACTTATTTCACTCAGTCATACTCTCCAGGTCCCTCCATGCTGTCTCAAAGGGTAAGAGATTCTTCTTTTTTACTGCTGCATAGTATTCCATGGTGTACATGTACTACAGCATTTTTACCCACTTGTCCACTGATGGGCACTTGGGCTGTTTCCAGGTCTTAGCTATTGTAAATTGTGCTGCTATGAACATAGGGGTGCATATATTCTTTCTACTGATATCAGGGAGAGGGAGAGAAGGATAGAAACATCAGTGATGAGAACGAATTATTGATCAGCTGCCTCCTGCACTCCCTGTAATGGGGATCGAGCCAGCAACGCTGGGTATGTGCCCTCATCGCAAATCAAACTGTGACCTCCTGATTCATG